TAATCTGAGGACCCACCAGATCCCCTCTCATAGGTCCTGTAGGAGGACTTTATCCTTATGATAGATTCTACAAACCTTTATTTCATTTATATCAAGAAGAGAATGCAGAACCTCCGCGCTTAGATGTAGCTCGCAGCACTCGAGGGTGTGAGAAGTAAATAAGGAGACTCCCATCATGGAGCCATAAACCGATCATTACAAGGCTAGCGATCCAACTGATGGCTTCCTCATTGATTTGTATTGTGCAAAGTTTTCCGAGGGTGATACATATGAGTACACATGACCCGGTGACCCGTCACAGGCAGCCCGAGGCCTCTATACACAAAGCAACGCGTAGAATGCAGCCAGTGAAGGGAGTGACTGGATGGAAGGTGCAGGGATCAGAGTAATACATAAAGCAATGTATTGACAGAAGGAGGAGGCCCGGTGTAGTCTGAGGTGGAAGGATACAGAGATGATGTTCCAATGCTGGGCCGTGTTGTCAAGTCCAGTTGGTGGGACAGCCCACTTACTCAGTACTCACACTATCCATTTTCTTCCCACTGGTATGCGATGCTCTTGACCTACTTGATCGTAAAAAGAATCTCCTTTCCCAAAATCTTTGTGTAAACTCATCCACTTCCTTAATAAAGTTACTCCCTGTCAATCAATCTCTGAGTACCTGCCCCTATGCATCCCTCTCTTTGGGCCGGTAGATGGAGGCTCCGTGCATGGAAATCCATAACGCCTGCTGTCTGCTTCCTAAATATTCTTGTCTGAGGCGAGACTCCTGCTTTTAACAGGTTAACGAACTCAATCTGCAAAGAACTCTATTGATAAGCAAGGGATAGGTTCAAATCATTATTATTCACTGACCCGATACATTCCCATAATTCCACCTCTGTGCCACGCCACGGCCTTAACATGTCATCTATATAGAGCAGCCAAAGGGCCACGTGAACCCCAAACACACACAAACCAAACATCAAGTGTTGCCACCAGCAACTCAGGTTGAGGCACATGTATGCTGGGGTGCAAGGGGATGAAATAAAAGCTAATTCTTTAAGATGACCTCCAAAAGGTCCATGAGATGTAACTAGTTGTTCTTCATGATAAGCTCCATGAGGTCCAAGAGATGTAACTAGTTGTTCTTCATGATAAGCTCCATGAGGTCCATGAGATGCAACTAGTTGTTCTTCATGATAAGCTCCATGAGGCACATGAGATGTAACTACTTGTTCTTCAAGATGAGCTCCATGAGGTCCATGAGATGTAACTAGTTGTTCTTCATGATATGCTCCATGAGGTCCAAGAGATGTAACTAGTTGTTCTTCATGATAAGCTCCATGAGGTCCAAGAGATGTAACTAGTTGTTCTTCATGATAAGCTCCATGAGGTCCATGAGATGTAACTAGTTGTTCTTAGTTGTTCTTCATGATAAGCTCCATGAGGTCCATGAGATGTAACTAGTTGTTCTTCAAGGTGAGCTCCAAAAGGTCCATGAGATGTAACTAGTTGTTCTTCGTGATAAGCTCCATGAGGTCCAAGAGATGTAACTAGTTGTTCTTCAAGGTGAGATCCAAAAGGTCCATGAGATGTAACTAGTTGTTCTTCATGATAAGCTCCATGAGGTCCATGAGATGTAACTACTTGTTCTTCAAGATAAGCTCCATGAGGTCCAAGAGATGTAACTAGTTGTTCTTCAAGGTGAGCTCCAAAAGGTCCATGAGATGTAACTACTTGTTCTTCAAGATAAGCTCCATGAGGTCCAAGAGATGTAACTAGTTGTTCTTCAAGGTGAGCTCCAAAAGGTCCATGAGATGTAACTACTTGTTCTTCAAGATAAGCTCCATGAGGTCCAAGAGATGTAACTAGTTGTTCTTCATGATAAGCTCCATGAGGTCCATGAGATGTAACTGGTTGTTCTTCAAGGTTAGCTCCAAAAGGTCCACGAAACATAAACTAGATCTTCAGGATGAGCTCAAAAAGAATCAGACTGTGGGCCTCCTACTAGGGATCGGCCTCCTCAACAAAGATCAGACATAAATAACCTCCTTGTGTGGAATTGAAGTGTAAAAGAGGCTCCACAATAATTCCACCAAGCATACACCTCGGATCAATGTGAAGGTCATGTGACTGAGAGAAGACAATGGACATGAGTCTCTACACTAGAGGTTTCTAGTCTACGTTCCATGTACTGCCTTTTATCCTCCATCAGTCTGTACACACTCCCTACAGTCAGGGGGCCGCAAGCCTTGGTGAGGTCCTATGGCCCCTGGGGCAGTACGTAGACATGAGATTATATTCTGATCCTCCACCAAATAATAACCCTTCCCCATTCCGCCTGATATAAAACCCTCTTTACCCCCATTAGTGTCCGGGACCAGCCGAGGAGATGGATGATCGGGGATCATGCTCCGCTCAGGATGGGGATCACTAAGTCCCCACATTATAAGACTGAGAGATCTGTACAATGTCACTATTATATAATGAGCTCGGCTCCCCTCGTACGGTTCTTTGGCGGGTTCCTCTCGCTTTCAGACAAGTCCCCATCCTCATCAGAGCCCCAATCTATGTTTTTCCAGGTTGAACATGACGACGGATAGATGACGGGCCGGCAAACTGGCAGATTTCTCCTTCAATCCCCAACCATCTGAGACCAAACGTCATCATGTGACCTCCCTGACCCGTCCTCCATCTCCTCAAACCTACTCAGTCTCATGCTGCCCTGAGTGTTCCATGTCCGGCCCAACATGCTCCAATCCTTCATGAAGGAGAGAGAGACAAGTCCGCATTCAGAACGGAGAAGTGTTTCCCATGTGATGGATTCCTATCGGACTTGGTGGATACTTCAAGAGCCTTTCCTGATATAAGAGAACAAACTGTGAGGTGGAGCAAAGCCGCCTCCGTGTCCGCCGGTGTCAGAACCACCCACTGCACCCCTCACCAACATACACACAGCGGTACATAAAAAGGGGAAGCTGAGTCATGTGACCAGGGCTATAGTCCTCACAGGAGCACTGCAATAAGCCTGCTGAATATGGCAGAGGTGCGGATTCCATAGAGAAGGATCCTTCTGTGCGGCTAAAGGGCAAAATCATCGGTGTCGCCCCCCCCCCCATACGGCGAATGTGCAGAACAGATGGCAGGGGCCCAGCAGAGTGTACCATTACATGCCATCAGTATGGTGGATGGTAATGCAGCCCAGAGACTACATGTGGTCGCTCTGAGCGGCATCCCTATGGGCGCGTACAGTGTAAACCGACGCGCCGGCCCTCCGGGGACACACACATGTGAAGTGCGGGGATGTTAATCACCCATTAACATCACAGCACCCTGCCTTAGTACTCCTCTTGGGAGGAGCTATGCAAATATCAAAATGTCTTGATGGGTGGGTGTCAGTCTTGAGGAGTGGGCGGTCCTAGGCAGGTTGTATTTGCATGAAGACCGCCCACATGTGATGCTGAACCTCCATGATTAAAAGAACTGAAATACAATATATGAAAGGGGCGGGGCCAGGGACAGCCAGGCTGGGGAGGAAGGAGCAAGAAGATGCTGGACGTCCTCCATCCAGGAAAGGAGGCGGAGCTCTATCTGACTTGCTGCAGCTTCTAATGCACATTGTGAGAAGCTCCCAGCGCGCAGTGACATCAGAGGAAGAGGAGCCGGGACCACTGAGCAAGACTGAAGGGGAGGGCGGGGGTCAGATAGAAGACTGAAGGGGAGGACGGAGGTCAGATAGAAGACTGAAGGGGAGGACGGAGGTCAGATAGAAGACTGAAGGGGAGG